GGAAAGGTGAAGCCCATCCCACCCAAGCATGTCTCTTGTCTTGATATGACACTTGTTGTCTAAGAAGCTGAAACCCGCCTCAAGACACCATTTCCAAAGCCACAAGTTGACCTCTCTAATGCAGGTCTCACGTTGTCTTCCAGGTCTGCTCACTGGTAGGACAGAAGAGAATACCACCTGTGCCCCTATCACCTTCAGCATGCCCCCCAGAGCGTGGTAGTCCGTCATCAAGTGATCAGGGCTTCTCCTGGCCACATCATTAGTGCCCACATGGATTAGGACCATGGGGTAGTAATCAGCAGACCATCCCCGTCACATCCTGAATCTTTGCTCCGGGCAGACAGTAGACCTCATGTGTCAAGGGGTCCTGGCGATAGATGGGACCCTCTGTACCTCTCAGGATGGAGTCGCCTATGACGAGCACCCAACATTTCTTCTTCCAGGTCTGCTTAGCTCCTTCAGCCTGTTCAGAGTCATGATTGACCACAAGATGAATATGAGCCTTCAATGTGATGCTGCGGCCAGTAAAGCAAGCAAAATGCTGGCTTGCATCCATAGAAGCTTCTCAAGCAAATCCCAGGACGTCATTCTTCCATTGTACTTGGCCTTGGTGAGACCGCAGCTGGAACACTGCGTTCAGTTTTGGGCTCAATTCAAAAAGGATGTGGAGACGCTTGAGAGAGTCCAAAGAGCCACGTGCATGATCAGAGGTCAGGAAAACAGACCTTACGATGGCAGGCTGAGAGCCATGGGGCTCTTTAGCCTGGAAAAGCGCAGGCTCAGGGGTGATCTGATGGCCACCTATAAGTTTATCAGGTGTGTTCACCAGGATCTGGGGGAACAATTGTTCACCAAAGCACCCCAAGGGATGATGAGGTCAAACGGTTATAACCTCCAGCAAGACCGTTTCAGGCTGGACATAAGGAAGAATTTCTTCACTGTCCGAGCTGCCAAGGTCTGGAATAGCCTGCCACCGGAGATGGTTCATGCATCTACACTGAATCCCTTCAAGAGAAATCTGGATACTTATTTTGCTGGGATCCTATGACCCCAGCTGACTTCCTGCCCCTCAGGCAGGGGGCTGGACTCGATGATCTTCCAAGGTCCCTTCCAACCCTAATGTCTATGAAATCTATGAAACCAGACATGTCATTTTAGGTGGTCCTGGCTGTCCCCCATTTTGATCCAGATCTAAACAGGAGTGGAAAACCATTTACATCTCTGTCAGTAGGTGGTGAGTGAGAGCACGCAGCCTGACAAACTTGTCCCTTGTATGACCACCAACTAATTTACAGAAGCACACAGCAAACTGAGAAGGGGGGGGGAGTATTAGTATAGTACATCTTGCATACTTCATAGGTGCTTGAAGCAGGAAAATGGAGTGGTAGGTCTGTAGCAACGTGGGAGAAGTCCCAGCTGTGGACACACTTAACAACCAGATTGGGAACCAGTTCATACTTGTACAAAGTGCTGAGGCTCTGACACTAGTGGGTGGGAGTGGGCACCCAACCTAGCGTCCCTCACAGAGGACAAGTTGGACGGGGGAGTGACTGAGGTCATTGCCGCTTTGCTGTTTCCTTTGCAACCGGCTTGGGGTTGAGTCCATAAGCCTCATACTGAGACCTCCTCAGGCTTTCTGCAGCACAGGTGACTTGGGAGCTGCAACTGAAGACCATTCCACCTCTTGCAGGATGGTTCACTGTTATTACAGTGTATTGACCGGTGCCAGTCAAGGCATTTTTAGTAGAAGGCAAAAACTCTCTTATTTGGAAACTGCCAGTCTTGGAGGCCCACCCCCATCTTGCATGATGCCGAGGCGCTAGGGCTAACGGTGGACATTCACTGACATTGAAGACATTTCTGACACTTTCCAGCAAGCTACTCCCTCTTCAGCCTGGCAAAGCCCAATGTCTCTTGACCAGATGGGCACGTGGCAAACCTCTAGGCTGAAAAAGAAAGAGAGAGAGAGAGAGAGAGATGGAGAGGGAGAAGTGGCCTTGGGAGCAGATTTTCAGAGTTGCTCCTTGGGCCGGGCACTAGGCTTCTTTGAAAGCACTGGGTCTTTTTGCCCCACCAAAAGACACTTGGCATCCGATACCACTGAAATACCGATAGGTATTTTATTTACGGGCATTAACGTGAACCCAAATCCTCTGAGTGCGGCCCCAGCTGGAGGTGCTGAGGTCTTGGATTCCTGTGTTCATTCACAGTAACTTGCCTCTGCTGGTGTGTTTCAGTCAGCTCTAGTTCCCTTGGAAAATCAGTCTTTGCAAAGAAATCTCACTCTCATTTGGAGCTCGAGGACTAGGCTGGCCCACTTGTAATCAGCCGAAACAGCACTGGCGCCCGGCCTGCGAGCCTCAGCTCAGGACCTAGCATATTCCTTTAACCAAAACGGCGGCCATCTACCACTATTTTCAATACAAGTGAAGCGAGGCTGCCCTCAGCCAAGATGGCCACCCTCCTCGCCGCGGGCTCTATGGCGCAGTGAGTCTACCCGTGGTAAAGATGGCTACCAGCGCGCATTGTTTGGCATGGGACTGAAGCTGACTTACCTTAAAAAAAATGGCTGTCCCACCGGGGCTGTAGGCCGTGAAAGCCGCATGGCCAGGCCCCCACCTTAGGGGCGGGACCAGACTCAGCATCACTTCTCCCGGGGGGGGAGCCCCCCACCCTCAGGGAACCATAAAGCCCTTCCCTAGCGGATAGAGCATCCTCAGCAGCCAAGCTCTGCCCCACCACAGGCGCTACCACAGAGACGCGTCTAGAGTACAGAACGTCCCCCGATCATAGAGCTGCTGGAGGCCGCCTCGCCATTTTAGAAGGAGGCGGAGAGCGGGGCGGAGGCGCGGGCCCAGGTACGGGGGAGGGGCCGGGCCGGGCCGGGCCGGGGAGTGGGGCAGGACGAGGCCCTCTGTGAGGCGGGGGTGTCTGCCGCGGTGCTCGGGGTTGCCTCTGCCCCTGCCCCTGCCCCTGCCCCTGCCCCTGCCCCTGCCCGGGCTGGGAAAGCTTTGCAGAGCGTCACGGGTTAGTGTGTCCCCTCCCCCGCCCTGTCCTGCAGAGACCGGTCCGCAGCGATCAAGGTGGTGTCCCCCCGTCTGAAAGCCTCAGCGCAGCCTACAAGAGACGTAGCAGCCACAGGCAGGACCCCCCCCCCCCAGCATCCCAGTGCACTTTGCCTCTGATTATTGATGATACCTTGCAAATCCTTGCATAGTGGGTATTTTCCCCAAGGACTTGGAGGTTGGTGGGTGACCACAGGCCAGGGGGACTGCACGGGGCCGGATGAATTCAAAAGGACTTTGACAGTCCAGGATCAATGAAACACTGTCAAGTGCAAAGTGCAGCGCTTCTGGGGGAGGTGCCAAATAAGCCCTCCGAAGGAGCGAGGCAAGCAGACCCTTTTCTGCAGCGCTGCTGAGGGTTGGGGGGTGGACCACAGGCAAAACAAGCCATAAACTTGATGCTTTTGCAAATGAGGTGAGTGTCACTTGGGAATACGTGAACAGGAACATCGTGTGCAAGACAAGGGAGGTAATTGCTCAGCTCTGTTTCGTGCTGGAGCTCTTGTGAACGTTCAGTGCCGTGCTTGTGGAAAAGTGTCGACCAGGGTTGTAAAACTCGCTCTGTAGCCTGGGCTGGATCTAGATCACAGGGCTTCTTGCTGGCCTGGATCCATGGCACTGATGGCAGTTGAGTAAGTGACCATGAGCTAGGCAGCCACTTACAGTGGCACACACGGCACAAGCAGCAGTAGTCCAAGTGGCTTCAGAGCAAGCAGAGCTGTGCTGGCAAGGCCCTCTCCAGCCCCCTTGCCACTGAGGGCCATATCCCCAGGTTGTGTGGCAGGCCCCACCCACCCTTAGCCATGTCCCCAAATTCCCTGGTCCCCCAGTAGCCCAGCCAGCTGGATGGAGTGACTCCATGGGCCATGTGTTTGATGCCTCTGATATAAACAAATTGGAGAGTCAAGCATGGTACAAGGCTGAGCAAACAGTGTGTGTGAGGAAAGCTTGAAGGACTTATGTTTGCATCGTCTTAAAAAAAATAAAGCAGTTGTTTTCAAATACATAAAACGCAAGGAGGAAGATAGTGATTAGTTGCTGTCTCTGCCCACTGTGGGTAGGAAAGAAGTAATTGGCTTAGTTTGCAGCAAGGGAGATGTAGGTTAGCTTTCAAGGCTAAGGGTATTTAAGCACTGGAGCAGGCTAGGCTACCTTGGAAGGCTGTAGATTCCCTTTCATTGAGAGTTTTAAGAGCAGTTCAGAGAAGTATCTTTCAGGGATGGCTCTGATGTACTTAATTGTGCCTTTGAGGTGGATTAGACAGCCTGTTGGGTCTATTCCATTAAAATTTAAAGGGAAAAAAAGGTGTTAAAAATGTTCAGGGCCATTTGTCCCTAAAGTCGGGCGCCTCAGAACTACTCTAAGGCTTGTTTGAGTTGGGGGACATGAGTGAGGCTTGCTCTGGTGGTGTCCTTGATGATATAGGATTTTGCTCTGGGGGGTCATTGAGCCAGAAGTTTTTGGGTAAGTGATAAGGAGAGAAGCCAGTAACACAGCTGTGAGTTGTGTATTGGTGATGCAGGAGAGTGAGCAGCCTGGTCGGTTCATATTATAGATGGCTAAAACCACATGTACCTACTACCATGTTTGGAAATATTTCCTTAAAAGTAACTTTGGTTCGAATTCCAGCCTCACTGTAATTTTCTGTCTTATAGTAAAGCTCTCTAAAGCAGATGAACATTTGTAGAGGCAGGCAGCTATTCCTTGCTTGCAGGTCACACCTTGTCCTGCTGTCACATTTTGTCCTTGTAGGCTTTAAGATATGCACTGTGGAGTGAAACAAACTCAGTAGAAAAATCCTGCGATCACTGGTTGCTGAGCATCTGTGTAATAGCTAGGAGAGGACTGGAGAGATCTGTGTAACTTACTGAGCCTCCTTTGTTCTCAGAGGATGTGTCCATTCTGTTATTTCAGTGCGGGGCTTGCAACAATATGGCCATTCCTTCTGACTTAATGTCTTCCAAGTGGGTGTCCTGCATCTGAATAGACTCATTTCAATAAATAGCTCAGCCTGTCTCCACCTGGAGAAGAAGCTGCTATAGCCAGAACCAGGTTTCTCACTTAAACTATGCTTAGAAGGCTAGCCAGGGACTCCTGACCCAGTCTCTGCTTCAGTCTCGTTTATTACGCCTGCAGCAAACATATCCTTTTGCTCTGGGTCAGCTCATATCTTGAAATGTATATTTGTGATTTGCCTGGTGAATGCAGTTGCTGCAGCAGCCTCTGCCTCCTCTAACAGCAGAGCCTTTCACGAGTGCCAGGGTGTTCGTCTCAGTGTCCTGGTCTCGTTCCAGCCTAGGTAATTCCATTCAGTCTCCTTGGATTTTCCTGATGTTTCTGTTAGGCATAGGATGATTCTTCACTTCCCACTGTGAAGTGCTGTGCTCTGTTGCTGGAGGCTGTTGAGCAGCTGCCACCTTCATTCCCTGGGGGGCTGCATTTCCTGGCTGGATATAGGATTTCTGCGTACAGGCTGCAGAGCCCCTTGGGATCATCCCCAAGAGAAAGGAGGTTGAGAAATGCTGAGTAATTGAGTCACCAGTGTAGTTGGGGAGGGTTCGGGAAACTGAGCTTTCTCCCCTTGCCCTTGCCCCTGTGGAAGTCTAGTGGCTCAGGTGCATTGTGCTCTTCCTTCTATGTATCAGCTACTGAACTGCCATGGGAAATACCACCAGCGAGCGAGTGTCTGGGGAGCGCCATGGCTCCAAGTCCCACCGCTCTGATGGAGCCAGTAGTGCCCACCCCTCCAAGGAGCATCCACACAAGATTATGGTGGGCAGTACGGATGACCCCAATGTCTTCAGCACCCATGACTCCAAGGTATGGGCTGGTTTCTCCCTATCCCTCTCCCCCATGCCAGGCTTATACATACAGGTACTCCTCACTTAATGTTGTTGCAGTTAACATTGTTTCATTATTATGTCACTGATCTATTAGAGAACATAGTCTTTTAAAGTCACACAGTGTTCGGTTATAACTTTGTTTGGCTGCTACCTGCTAGTAGGGAACTACTGTGACATAATTGGATTTGCTTAACATCGTTTTGCTTAAAGTCGCATTGTTCAAGAACTAACTACAACATTAAGTGGGGGGTAGCTGTAGTAATACAGTGTCAGCACCCACGCGTCTCTGCTAGGCTTGTTTTCCAACTAGCCTGAGTTAATATTTGCTGAATGACTTTAACTAGTACACTTTTTTGGGGAAGTGCCTCATAATTATTGGTTCAGACACTGCTGTGTGTACACTTGCTTGGTAACTCAGAAGTTTCAGGTTTGAAACCTGTCCTTGAGAATCTCTCTTCTCTCCCCTGCCCATATTCCCTTGGGGTTAAAATCTAAGAAAGAAAGCCTTCTCCTGACATCCTTGAGAGGACCCGTGTCACGTGCAAAATAAATCTGTTAGCCATTCACGCAGGTAAAGCCCAGTAGGAGCTCCCAAAATACAGGCTCATTTAAAAGACCCTACAAATGGACTAGAGGGATGGGGATGTTATAACACAAAGGCTGTGTCACTTAGTTTGGACAAATAACTGTGGTGTGACTCAAGCATGTTCTCAGCTGGAGTAAACTGCCTCAGCTTCATTGACTGAAACAGAGCAATGACAGCTTTCTCTAGCTGGGATGCTAGAGCATGGGGAGGGGTGAGCCTGCAGGGGCAGGGAGCAGTCTTCAGTGTTGGTAATAGTTCATGGAAGAAGGAAAGTAATAAGAGAGCTGGCCCTGACTGCTGTTGTGCCTGTGCCTCAGTCAGGCTAAGGGTTGGTTCTTGTTTCCTTTTTTGCAGCTTCCTGGGGATAAGGAGTTTGTGTCTTGGCAGTCAGATCTGGATGAGTCAGCAAAGCCAGCGCAACAAGCTCGTCCCACTGTCATCCGCTGGGCTGATGGAGGCAAGGAGGTCTTCATCTCTGGCTCCTTCAACAACTGGAGTGCCAAGATCCCACTCATTAAAAGGTATAGAGCACTTCTGCAAAGAGCACCCTGGCCATCTTGCTTTCGCTCCCTCTTTGAGCTGCTTCTCCCCCACCTCACTTGCCCTTCCGCTTTTTCCTCTTCACTGCCCTTACACTGCTTCCTCTTCTCTAGTCAGGTCAGCTGCCCTGAGCACAACCAGTTAAGGACAGACTTTTCCTTGGTTTTCTCTGGTACAATCCTCTGAAGTTGTCACAGAGGACAGGGCTGTTGGACACTTTTTTTCATGCTGAGGAACCTATAATTCTTTATGCTCTTCTAGCCCTGGCTGCCAGCCTGCCCAGTTATCTGATAACCTTCCTAATCAATATGGTAAAATCTTTACCCTCCCTTGCATGCAAATTAAGTCAGTGCATATTTCACTTAATGGCATAGGATTACATTGGTCCCAATTTCTTTTGTCTGTTGCTTACATTATAAAAGACAGTGGTTATGTACATCCTGCCTAAGTGCATGGACTGGTCCATAAGCACTCTTTAGATCTCTTGTCTACTGTGCAGTCAAATTGTATCCCTGTTAACTGGATGATTAGTGAAACTGCCTAGTAGCTGTCAAGTTCAAGGTTTTTAATGGCAGCCATGAACTGACTAGGTCCTGTCTGTTTCAAATCCTTTATTAGAAGCATAAAGGGCTCTGAGTAATGAGCTAATCAGCTTTAATGAGGTATAAAAAAGTTAGCTCTTACTATTCTAATAGATAATGGGCATTGCTTCTATTAAGTCCTGATACATGCATAACCTTTTCTCAGTCCCCAGGCTATGCATTTAAACCAAGTGCTCTCTCATTCTTTCTCCATCTAGTGTTGATACCTGACAAACACATACAACATAGGCTTCATGCGTTTTCCTCGTCTTAGTTTTCTTACCTCTTAATTGCAGCTGTTTAGTTCTTTAAATCTTCCCTCATCTTTCAATCTCTTTGGTTCCTGATTGTTTATGTTGCTGTTCTCCTACCACCCTCCAGCATATATGTATGTTTTAGTAAAACATTGCTTGGGATTGAATGTACTATCCTGGATGTAGTTACAGAGAGCAGGACAGAGAGAGTCCATTTTTCCTCTCTGATCATTTGCCTTTGCATTTTGCATATGGCTGTGGTTTTATGCTACTGTATCACAATGCCAGCTTACACCTCATTTACTGTCTGGTGTCACCAATAGGTCTTTATCCTCTCCCCATATTTCTCTGCTATATTGAGTATCTCTGTTCTGTTGACTTTTTTTTACCCAGATATTTTAACTCTTATTTCTTCATGTTGAGTTATATTTTTTATTGTTTTGTGTTTGTGTTATTTTACTATTCCTACCTGTTGTGCCATATTACGGTTTTAGTAATACCAGGCCTAAAACTGTGAGCTATGCAACCTTCTCAGACCCCAACTCCATAGGTTGTTGTTCACTGCTGCTTTTGTTTATGGCCCCTCTAAGATCAGCCTTCTCATAGAAATATGTCCCAAGCTTGCACTTTCTTATCCACACACTTGTATTGTGGCTCAGGTTGTGTATGGATATATGAAAACAATACATGCATGTTCTGTGAGTGCAGTGCATGAGACACTGGGATCAAGTTGGTTTGTATGACAGGTGTGCCACAGAAGTTGGGAGGGGAGTAGTGTATGAACCATCAGTATAATGGTACACTGCCATTTGCTTTCTTCTCTCTGCTTTCAGCCACAATGATTTTGTTGCTATTCTCGACCTGCCTGAAGGAGAGCATCAATACAAGTTTTTTGTGGATGGGCAATGGGTTCATGACCCTTCAGAGGTAAATCTCAAAGCCATTTCCCTTCTCCCTGAGACTCTCAACTTTCCCCTCTTGGTTTGCTATCAGTGCTCCAGTGCAGATAGTCTAAATGCCCCAGGGCTTCAGGGAGTGGAAACGGTATACACCTTCTCCAGACTAGTTGAGGTTCTTTGCTTCTGTTGTCACAGTTCCTCCCCTTGGTTGGAACTGTATGGTCCAGTAGCTCTCACCTCTCATTTGATTAGTATGGGAGAGGCTGTTGCCCTTACACCACAGTTTGGGTTGTTTCACCTTACTATTTCAGGCTCTGTAGCCAGTGGAGCCTCACCATGCCCTTGGCTTAATTCTGTCTCTCAGATTTTGCTTCCTAGAACTACAAGTGTGGCACATTCAACTGCAGTGGGTTTGCCTTTCTCATGCAGGGCTGTAGGGATTGAAATTAAGACACCTTTCTTGATGTTGCTGGAGCAGAGATAGAGGAAGCAGGAAGGATTTACAATGCCTTGTGGGTCACTTGGCAAAGCAAGATGGCAGTTCCACCAGCTTACTCCTTTTGGTAGACTAAAGACTGTAGGATACTATCAGCACTGTCATCTGAATCTCAGTGAGGCTCTGGGGAGCAGTTGGGGACTAGGACCTCTCAGAGCCAGGATCAGTATCATCGGCCAGGCTGAGGCATCTGGTTACCACATCTCTTCTCACTTGTAGATAATTTCTCCTATTTCAGTTGCAGGAACATGATGAGCATTTCAATCTAGTCGTCAGCTGGTAGGAGGATCGGCCATGTGGAAGAGGAAGTAAGGCAGGGTCTGGGGTAGGATTGGAGAGAGTTGCCGTTGCTGTCAGGCCTGGTCTAGACTACCAGCAGAACTGACTGCACCTGCGCTCTGAGACAGCAGAAGTCTTTCTCTGCCTGCCAAGCAGCATCGTCTCTGAGTGACAGCAGGCTTCCACCAATGTCCTATAGCCAGCAGAAGGCTTCCCACGCCTTCTGCTGGCTGCGCTTATGGCTCTAAGAGTGCCCTTAGCCCCTGCTGGTACAGCTGCTATAGTGGGGCTGTGCCAAGCCATGTAAATGTGAATGTGCTTAGAAGGCCTCTCTGGATGTGGTAGTCTGCCACCAGAAGTTCCAGCCACAGAAACAGCCTTGCATAGAGAAAGGCCCAGACTTGGGAATGTCTCCTAGGGTGTAAACAATGAAGCCCTCACATGGATATGGGGAAAATGATGCTGACCTCCTTTACAGTAAAGTGCTTTGAGACTTGATGGAAAGTTCTAGGTAAGAGCACAGAACATGAGAAATACCATTTACTGGGTCAGAACATAGGTCCATCTGGCTCAGTAGCCTGCCTGACACAGCTTAGCAGTACTTCCAGCATGAAAGGGGCTATCAGACCTTCATGCTAGCTAGAGTTTCAAATTTCTATATGTTTCAGTCTTAACAGGGGTGTTCCTCAGCCCAGCTCCTTCTGAGCCTTGGGCAACTCAGAAGGATGAATCATGCCTGTATAGTGATGGCAGGAGGCTGGATAAATGGAGAGTTTGGATTATGTATGTGGAAACCTGAGTAGGGGGATTGAGTGTGTCAAGAATGGAGTTTTGGTAGATTGTTGTTTCCATTTTCGTCTTCCAGCCTGTGGTCACCAGCCAGATGGGGACAATTAACAACCTGATTCACGTCAAGAAATCTGACTTTGAGGTGTTTGATGCTTTGAAAGTGGATTCTCTGGAGAGTTCGGAGACTTCTTGTCGCGGTGAGCTTCACAGGGCACTCAGCATGCCCTGCTATTGACTGCCTCGTGCCTCTTTTTTCCTTTGAAACTCACTCCAAGTTCCTGTGCCACTGACTGCACTGCAAGGGAATGAACTGCTGGAGTCAGCTGACAGCTGGGTGCCTGATAGTAATATCTGGTTATTATGTTGCACTGCTGACCAAAAGTGCCCAACAGGGTCTGGATGCAACCTAAATGTATGAAAACAGCCCTGCCCTGCCTAGTTGACAGTCTGATGTTGTCTGCCTCAGGACAGACCAGACTAGTTGTTCTGCCAACTTTGTGCAACTCTAGATTAGTTCTCACATGTGAATAAAATGGGTCTTGCAGCAAGTTAGTTACTCTGGAATATAAGTTACAATTATTGTGGAATAGTGACCATGCAGAGAGGTAATGCAGCAGAGTAACTTGTCCTACAAAATGCTGGTCACTTTTCCCAGTGCTGTTAAGGCCTTAGTGTTTCTGCTGTCTCATACGTGAGTGTGAGTGTGAGTCATCTGATCTCTGCTTGCTGCAAACAGGAGCTGTTGTTACACCAGCTGCTATGTATTTTTAGTGTCAGGCTAATTTGTTGCAGCACTAAGCTGTGTAGAAAACCTCCTGTGTTCTAACCAGGGTTACTAGGTTACAGTTTCAGAATCCAGCTGTGCCAAGCTGACAGAATTACTAAGTAGTAGGTCAGTCATGTGTCAGGTTAGTGTGTTTAACCAGTGTTGGCTGCTCTATGTCTGTAAAAGCATACTATGTGACAGAACCAGTATCATTCATACAGAATTAATTCCCATGTCCCTGCCCAGTCTGAGCAGCAAGCTCTCCTTTGAAAAAGTGTCAGCACCTGGGAACATGTGGTATGCTGGCTGTCTATTAACCAGTTGGGTTGGAAGTGGCTTGTGGTTGTACCTGTAGTGAGCTAGGTCCAGCTTCCAGTGCATTTGGATTCCCTCCATGGTAGATACCTGCAGCAAGGCAGAATTAGACCACGGAGACTGGATTTCCTTCTTGCTCCTAAGGGTGCTCTGAGGCTTGCTGGTGATGGGGGACAGTGTAAATGATGTTTGCTCTTCCATTGCCTTTGTTGATAAAGAACTTTTTTTTTGGGGGGGGGGGGACACTGAGCCGCCAACTTGCAGTTAACTGATAAGGAGAGGAACTCCCACAGCACTGGCGAGCAGTGTCTTGGTGTTGCAGGGAAGTGAATAGTGAAGTCTGCTTGAGTTGTAACAAATAGGCACACAGGGATTCAGATGTGCCCCCTGGAGTAGATTCATTTCCAAGCATATTTTCTGTTCCTCTGTGGAAGTACTAAGCTCTCACTTGATGTCAATGATTTTCAACCGTGGTGCCACAACTGTGGCATGAGGTCCCAGTTGAAACCACAGGCTTGATTAACTTGCACGCTTACTGTGCCTAGAAGCAGCGCCCTTAGGCACACAGCACTGTTCCACAGCAGCTGCCTCCCAGACCAGGAGCAGTGTCACCACACCTGCATGGCATTATGGGCAGGCTGCTTAGCATGGCCAGCCTGCATCAGTTCCAGTTCAAGAGGCTTATGAGATACAGCACCGCTTCCAGGCCCAGTGAGTTTGCAGCCTAGACATGGCCAGTATATAGCTGCTTGGCCTCCGGAGGGCACAAAATAGAGTGAAAGATGCAGTGAAGTCTTGTTGTAAATGACAGAGGGCACTTGGGAAATCTGTGTCTTCCTTCCAGAGACAACTTACTCAGAGGCTTCTGCTAAAGTAGAGAAGGTTTGGGAAATAATTTCAACACTGGCAAGAATGGGGCACGTGCAGAGCCCCTGGCATGAGGAAAAAGATGCAGAAGATATTGCAGTGAGTCCCTGAATTAGAGCGGTATGGGAGGCTGACAGCCAAGGAGCTTGTGGTAGAAGGGAGGGTTGCAAGGAGCCCCTGCTGTTTGGAATGAGCTCAGTGAAGTATAAATTCCTCACATATTCTGTGGCCTGCTGGGATTAACGCATGCACCTGTTCTCCAGGATCTGTGGCTTAACCCAATACTGGCTGGTTTTGCTGGAATAATCCAAAACAGTAATGCTAGAAAGGCCCTGCTGGGTCCCCTCTCATTCTCCTCTGGTGCCAGTCTAGGATGGCATCCTACTGTGTATTCACCAGAGCTTTGTCCAGTCTGATTTTAAATATCTCATGCAATGGATGTCACTTCTACTGCCCTTCATATACTGTTGTTTTTTCCAGACCTGTCCAGCTCCCCACCAGGACCTTATGGACAAGAAATGTATGTGTATCGACCTGAGGAACGCTTCAAATCCCCACCCATCCTCCCTCCTCACCTCCTCCAAGTTATTCTAAACAAGGACACCAACATCTCTGTAAGTATTACTCATGTCCTCCGTGATGTGGGGGCAGCCTCGGCTGGAGTCAGCAGAGGTAGGAGGAAGGGAGTTTGGGCTGATCTGTAAAGAAAGCTTGGTAATGCAGGGTAGGTCAGGAGTGGGGGTGGCTCTAAAGCAGAACACACGGCTCCATATGCTGTCTTGCACACAGCCTACCTGTTCATGGCCCAGGAGTAGCAGGGGGTCTGTCATGTAATGCTCCCTCTGAGTCCAGATAGCCAGCCTCCTGCATGCTGGGAGTGGTGGTTTGGGCCCCTGTGTTACCTTCCCTTCATTTTGGTCCCTTGCTCCATTGATGGCCCAGCCCAGGTTCCATTCTCACTCAGTGCACTTAACAGATCATAGGTGGTAGCGTCAGTGATGTTGTGGCTGTGATAGTCCTGGAGTTCTGTGAAGGGCAAGGATTCCTTAAGATGAGATCTTCTGTTGAACCAACCACATGGTTGGAATAGAGTTAGACAAGCTTTTGGATGCAAAGCATTTCTTAATTAGTTCACCTGATGAAGAAGGTCTTGCATTCAAAAGTTTGTTTCACTCTATCTCAACTATGCAGTTGGTCCAGTAAAAGATACTGCTCTAAGAAATCCTTGCCTCTTGCATAGATCATAGGTAAAATTTGAACCGCAGGTTAATACCTGCTGCAACAATTCCTCTGTGCTCTCCCTGTAATACCACAGCTGGGGGTTTTTGCAAGTGTCTGGGAGAAGTGTCCTCTGGTGATACTACCCAAGTGATGCTCAGGGTTGATCTTTCCTTTGGTTTCAGTGTGACCCAGCGCTCTTACCTGAGCCCAACCACGTCATGCTCAACCACCTCTATGCACTTTCCATTAAGGTAAGTGGCACTGGGCACAGCTGGCTACTTGTACCCCTGCCCAGTCATCCAGGGAAGCTCTGTTACGTAATGTGCACTGTAAAGGCCCAGGAAAAGCTACCACTTTGCTCCTGGCTCTGCTGTCTGAGCTGTTGTGGTGTGGCTCTTGGTGCACAAACTCAGTGGAGTTTGTCCTGAGTACCAGAGTAGGGATGTGCCTGGGGGTCAGCACCCAAATACATGGCAGTCACTGTAGGGGTAGGATTTTTAATCTCACCCTCTGTGTGCTCAGTTGCCTTGGGATTTTGCTTTTGCTTGCCAGCTGGGAGGGGTAAGGGGTATTTCCCAGTGATGGATCTTCAGCAGCAGCCTGAATTTCAGTTCCTCTGTGCCCATGTAGCACCTCCAAGCCTGAAAGCCCCTGATAGAAAAACACAGGGCTAGCTAACAACGCAGCTGAAAATAAAAGCCTGGTCTGCTCTTTAGGAGAGCCTCTGCAGGGGGTGACATGATCAAACGCTGCCTCTGAGTATCTCTTCATTTCCTTCCAGGGCATGGGAGCTGCCCAATGCTGGACTCTCCCACCTCCTCCAGAGCACATTGGGGTGTCCAGTGACTTATTACCTAGCCATTAGGACCTCACTCCAAATCTCCCTCCTTGGGCTTTCCCCAGTTTTTCTTCCTACTCACCACATCCTCTTCCCCTGCTTGTCCAGCACTGGTTTCTCCCTGCTTCTCCACAGCACTAGCACAAAAGCAGTCTCCCCTGCAGCTCCTCCTGCCACATTAACTTCCATTTCTTCACTTCAGTGACCTTTGGCATTCCCCATCTTGGCATGTCCTCTCCATGTCTTACTGTCCCTGCCCTCTTTGGGGCGCTCCCAGGTGTGCATACAGCCTGTGGGTTCAAGGTAATGCTTTGGTGTCCTCTCTTGCAGGATGGCGTGATGGTGCTCAGTGCTACTCACCGCTACAAGAAGAAGTATGTCACCACCTTGCTGTACAAGCCTATTTGAGCAGGGCCTGGCCCTCTCGCCATGTAGGACATGAGAAATGCCACTTTGTCTGCACACGCTGGGCCACGGGTATATGGTACACTTGGCAATTGGCTCTTGCCTTGAACCTGGCAGAGATGGAAGCCCAGGATGAGCCTGGTCCTGCTTGGGGCCAAGAGCTCTTCCGTCTCGGTATTCTCTTGGGGAGGTTTGATTCTTAACCCTTCTGTAGCCTCCTGGCTGCAGGGGCCTCTGGCTTCGCTGTGTTCCTTGGGCTGGTCTTTGTTACCTCATAACTTCCAGGTCTCCACGTTCAACCATAAATTGCAACCTCCATGCAACTGGAAGTGCTTCAACTACTGCCTCCTGCTTTTGCCTGCAGGAGCAGTGCCATGTCATGTGCCCTCATACCCTTGTCAGTACTCTTGGAGAAGGGTCTCTGTTCCCAACAGCCCAAACACTGTTTCAGAAGCCCCTGGGAGTGGAATACCAGGGGTTTTTTGTCCTCTTCTCCTTGAGCTTCCTGTGTCCACCCTGAAACCAGCTGACCTGGTTGGAATCCAGGAATGATGTCCCACAGTAGAGTCCAGGGTTGGCCCAGCCTCCCCACCCAGTGCAGAGCTGAGCCCAGAGTGGGATAGAAGTAGAGTTCTCTCCTTTCCCCATCCCTACCAGAAGCATCCCCTGGGAGAATCCAGGCTTGATCTGTCGCCACTAGGGCTCCAGGGCCCAGTCCCATCAGTTGTTAGGCAGTGTCTTGGACTTTTCCAGGTGACAGGTGATAGCAGTTCCCTGGGGCAGTGCAGGGCCTGTAGCTTAGAAGCAGCAGTTTGTTGGAGGAGAGCCCCACTCTTAAGGAAGAAATTGTCCCAGCCACTTTGGAGCATTGGGCAAGCTAGAGGCATGGGTCAAAGGCTCGTCTCCCCAGGTAACTGCAGCCCTTGTATTGAGAACCAGCTTCTAAGCCCTTGAGGTCAGTGGAAAGGCTCCTATTGACTCCAGTGGGCTTTGAGTGGAGTTGTTAATGTTTTCCAATTGTCACATTAGAGTTCTCCTGAGGAGCTGAAATCCTAACTCACTTGCTGCTGGAGACTCAGTTGGTCTAATATTATTAGAGTTGGTTGGTTTAATGAAAGATCACATCTACCCAAAGAACCTTGCTAGCTTCTGGAGCACAGCTCTGGGGTCGTTGGGCAGGGAGCTGCTCTGCGCAGTCTCCTGCCCATGGTAGTGTTGTGGGCGGTATCCCCTGTGGAGGTCTCCTGTCTCCAAGCCTTCCCCCTCCCCCCACCATGTCTGTATTCATTGTTGTCCCTGAAGGTGCTGCCCATGCCTCTGGTCAGTCTCAGAGCAGGAGCAGTGGGGGTAAGAGAGACCTACCTGGCTTTGGAATCTCTTCTTCATGGAGGAGGGATAGTGCTTGCATTTCACCCTGGCCTTCCTAATTCTGTCATTCTGAAGAAACACTCAGCGAGTGCCATTGTCACAAGCACTTCAGCACTTCGGGCTAAGCCTGTGCCAGGTTCAAAATTGGAGCCAATGGGTTGGGGGAGGGGGTTGCGTGTTGCCATTGTACGCAGTTGCACTTTACTTGTCACTAGGAGAGCTCCCTACCCTGCCTCCACCCCATCCGGCTGGAGTGTTTCCCTGGGTGGAGGCTGCTTTGTATGATGGCTAGATGAACACCTAGGGACTGGAGAGCGCTTTCCACTAGCAGACCTGTTGGGACAGACCCACGGCTGCTCCCTGTCCAAGTTGAACCACACAGCAGCGAGTTTCACCTGATCCAGAGCAAGACGCCAGAGCACGAAACTCCTGATGTGGGTGGGACGGACTGTTGCCTTCTCTGCTCTGCTTGGAGTGAGGACTCTGCCTCTGACCCATAGGGAGTTGCCTCCCTCCTGCTGGAGCAGTGCCACAGTGACAGGCATCTTCTCTGTTGTATTTATTATATTTGTTATCCTCCCTGCTGCTGGGTCTGTGTTGGAGGAAGTATTACAGAACACATGAGAGACTCCTGTGAGCTGCACGGCCGGTGACCACAGACTCACGGCTGTCGGAAGGAACAGGGCCAGCATGCTTCCTGGTGTTACTCCCCAGGGAATTACAGGAAAGGTGGTTGATGCCAGGGCAAGGCAGTGGCTTTGACCACACTGGCCTGAACCTGACCAACAGTAGAGGGCTGCTGACCCAAGCTGAGGGCCCAGATCCCTGGGCTTTAGGTCCCTATTGCTGCTTTGCTGCTCACAGCACAAGCCTGGCTTTGAACCACAGTTGCTGGTCTGTCTGCTGATTCTTGGTTCCTGTCCTTCCAGGCAGTGGGCAACTCCACTCTGGGGGAGCATGAAGGCCTACATCTCTGCTATTACCGAGCCCTTGACTCTCTTGTGTTGGAAGAGGAGTGGTGAGACTCTGTTGTGGTGGAGTCTCCCCCTCATTCCTTCACGCCCCCCCAGCAGACAGAGCTTTCTTAGTAAGATGGAGGTTGACTTGTGGAGCAACTGGCTCCCACTGCTGCCCTGGGGGTGGGGGCTGCTTGTAACTTCCTTGCATACTGGAATCCAGGGCCCTGGCCCTTGCTTTTCTGCTTCCCCAGACAACCCCCAGCTCCTGGTGCTGTTTATCTCCCTGCTGCATGTCACACACTCTGGCAGGAGAACCTGGGCTGTTTGCACTCTAGTAGCCTGATCAGTTGACCCTTTTGGCCTGCCTTTCCCCAACCAAGAGTTAACCTGCACTCTGAAGACTGGGGCGTGGGTCTCAGCTTTGCAAAGATGCAATGTTGCAGGCCTTGGCAGCTATTGGGATTCCTACCCCCTGGCTGATGCTGCGGAGCAGGAATCAGAGCCTTTCTGCTGAGGGGCACCTGCTTGAGCTGGACAGTGTTCAGGAGGGGCCTGGCCTGTGTCCCACTTCACAGGGAGCTGAAGAGCTGGCCATTGCTTAGGAGTCAGCCAGGCACCATGTCCTGGGCCAAGGTCAGCCTTTCATCCCCACAAGCAGGGTGGGAGGAGGAGCCTAGGCAGTTGTTCCTGAGTGCAGGAAGCAGGGACTTGTGCCTCGCCCACTGCTGCTGCTGCAGGCGTTGCTCCTGTCATTGGTAAGGGCCTTCTGCAGGGAGCACTGGCAAGACTTCTGGCCCCTAAGTGGCTGCATACAGGATACAGGAGTCCCTTTTCCACTGGATGTACCTTGTCTAGCAATGCTTATGAGTTTCCACAGAGATGTGGCTTGAATAAAGTTTGGTATCAGAGTTAGTGCAGAGCCTGGGCTGTTGGGGCCTGAGGGACTGATGTGCCCAGGAAGGGTAGGAGGAGGTAGTGAGTGTTACCTGACCTGCTGGGCTGGATGCCTCCCTGCAACAGTTTTGCTGATGACAAACTAACCTGATCACCAATAGATGGGGGCTGGGATGGGATAGGCACAGGCAGGAGCTGGCTTCCTTGATGTCCTACCTTAAAATGCTGTGGAGGGGGTGGGACATTGCAGGCATTGAGCCACATGTGCCTAAGCCCAACCAGGGACACCATGACCTGCCGTGTGCTCTGGAGCTCCTGCATGGTGGCGGAGTGCGAGAGAAGGGACCATGTGGGTGAACAGAGCCAGAGCTTGGGGGTGAACAAGGCCAGCTTCAAGCTCAGCTAGCCCTGGTTTGTTTGCTGCAGGAGACAAGTGAGGGAGCAGTGCCCAGCCCTGCCTTCGGAGCATCACAGGCATTTTCAGCCCTGGCAGGGGCAGAGCATCCCACACAGTGGACAAAAAGCTGTTCTGTGATGGCCACTGCCCCCACAGGTCCTCAGAGGCTAAAAACTACTGAAGCCAATATTTTAAAAAAGATGAATTTATTGGGGACTTGCTGGGATCAGGGAGGAAACACTTCATTTCTTACATCTTATTTCTTCCCGAAATTGGAGCCGAGTTGGCTCAGCGGGAGGCCTGCTGCATTAGAACGGTTGCTAGGACACATCATAGGCACCCCAGCCCCTGTTGCATGACGCAGCTACAATATATACACATCCTACGAGCACAGACATGCCGCAAGCAAGGGTTGGCTACCATCAGGCCTCTCGAGCCTGTTTACAGGCGGTGCTAAGTTCTTCATCTTCCACGCGAACGGGAGGCCCGAGCTGAACAAGTGGCTTGACCAGCACTCTGTCCTATTCACCACCCCCTGTGGGTTCTACAGCAATTCAGCCTTGGGGGCTAAAGACTCCAGCAGGGAAGGGATGGCTGTGCCCAAACCCCCTGGTGTGAAGTCTCCTGGCCCCATCACACCTTGCAGAGGCAGAGCAATGCTAGATTCCCAGCAGCCAGTTAAGCGCAGCCTCACCAGGGCTCATCTTCCTACAGCAGGGTACGTGCAGCCTTAACATTACATGATCCTCCTGGGCCAGTGGTGACAGCTACTTCAATAATGCCCCTCAGGAAGCTACAGCTCTCAAACAAACTGCTCAAAGCTGGTATAGCCAAAGCAGGTGCTGCATTGAGGCAGCAGGTCAGGAGACATACGCACCTGCCTGCCACGTCTCCCCAGCACACGCATCAGTAGTATGGTGCGGTTCTAGTCCGGCCCACTAGCTGGGTGGTGGGTCTCCAGACAGCCTTCTAGCATGCTGCCACACAGCTGAAAGGCACTGCTGCTGTGAGTGGTTGTCCATGTGGGTGATGGCATAGCTGGTGGGAAAGCTGCTTTGCCAGATGCCCCCTTGCCAGTCCTAGCAGTGACTCATCCAAGCAGCCTACCCCTGTGGACACGCCAGAAACAGCTGTGGGCTAAGTCACATGCAGAATAATTAGGTTCCAGCGTGATCTGGAAGACTCCAAAGCCTCATTCAGCAGATGGGATGGGCACACCTCAGCAGGGAAGGGCAGTGCTGTGTTCCTGAGAACTGCCACAGAGCCATGCCTGCTGGGTGGGAAGCAGGGGTAGGGGCTCAGTAGCTGTGAAGGTGAATGAAGCAGGGCCTGCTCTGTTCCTCCTGCTGCGGCAAGGAGTTGGGATGGCTTCTCTTTCTTCCTGGCTCCTGGCAAGCCAGGCTCATGCGATGGCAGGGCTGGGAAGTGCCCACTGGGGTTTCACCTGGAGAGAAAGCACAAAACCAGCTGGAGGCATTTGCCACTGGAGATGCCCAAGAAGGCTGGAAGGAGGCAGGAGGTTCCCTGGGGGGGTGGGGGTCAGAGAAGCAAGCTAATGCCCCTGCAAAGAGGAGGCAAGGGGCACCTCAAGCAGCACATGTGGTACACCTCTGCTGGCCCAGCTGGCCTCCCAAAGTGCCCATCCTGCCCCCTTCCCCCTGTGCATCAGGGTCCAGTGCAGAGCTGTGCCCAGAACAGCCACCCCTGGCAATGCTATTGCCAGCACTGCCATTCAGGCATGTTCTAGAGCTGCCTCTGCAGTGGTGCAGGTGGGACTACCACCCAAGAACTACCTGCAGTTTCACTGGTGGCCATCAAAGGCCACTTCTCCATGGCTGAGCAGGCCAGAAGTAGAGCAAGGGGGTTCCAACAATTTTGGAGTCAAGGACCCCATCAGAAGAGTCAAAGCCTCACTCAGAATGTGCCAGCTCTTAGCTTTTGCTCATTTATTTTGATCACATAAAAATAACAGAGCAATTCTTCTGTTGCAAGGACCCCGGAAGCCCACAGCAGGTCCAAACAGTTGAGTTTACCTTATAAATCATGTCTGCAAACCTGGCAGGGCCAACATTGCATGGCACCCTACAGAACCCTTGAAAGGATCTCAAGGTACCTTGCCTCGGACTCACTGAGGTAGATGCAACGGTCCCAAGTGCCAACCCTGGCACTCCTACTGGGCATGCTCGTGCCCTTGCTGCCAGAGCATGCATGAGGCAGGTGTGACATTGTCAGGACACCTGCATGCACACAACACAAGCTGGGGCTGTGCCTTCGCCCATGAAGGTGAAGGAGAGGCCTGAGGCTGGCACCACTGTGCATGAGCACCAAAGAAAACAGCTGAGTGCACATGCCCACTCCCCCGCTTTACCACGGAGACCCCAGGTTGTCAACATGCTGCTCTAGCAGCTCCAGCCCATAGCAGGGTTGGTCCAGAGTATGCTGGCAACAGAGGCTCTGATGTCCTGGCACCTCCCCATGGGAGCTGATGGAGGAGCCACTGGAAGTTCAGAAAAGCCTCTCACCCAAGCAGGACACCCCTCACCCCACATACACCTCCCCACAGGGAGATGTCTGGTCCCTGACTGCAGACCCATAGCCCTCTGCCATGTGCCATGGAGGTGGGGGAGGTCTCCCAGAGGGTGTGGATGAAGGGCACCAGCCTGGGCCAGGCAGGGACAGTGCAGAGGCTGTTACCTTCGCCAAGAAAGGGAGGTGATTTTACAGAGCTCTGGGGAGTGCTCTTCTGGAAAGGCTCAGGAGAGAGAGAGAGATGGAATGAGAAAGAGAGAAAGGGAATGAGAAGCACAACTGGCATAGCACAGGGGACCCAGAGCCCGGGGGGTAGGAAGGCAGGGCCCAAGCACCCTACCACAGACTCAGCTCAGCCCCTTCCCTCCACGTCCTGCCCCACCACAGACTACCCTGGCACCCTCCACCAGCTGTCTTTGTTCTCTGCCCCTTCCCCACTCTTCCCTGGAGAGCCCAGTTGTGCTGCCCCCTCCCACAGTGTGTACCTAGAGCCCCTGAACCCCCTTGTTAGCCCAATTAGCCCATAGCGAGGGGCCAGTCCCCTCAGTTTAATGTAGAGCCCCTGCTCATCCCCAGCCCCAACCACTGTTGGCTGTGGCTGGCACACAGCTTGGAGCCCCCTCTCCCACCCCCAGGGTATGTGGGGTCCTGCCGTGCTCTTGCCCCTGGGCTAACTCACCTCCAGGTTTGTCCTTGCCTTCTTCAGCACATCATGAGTTTTGGTCACTGCAACAGAGACAGGAGCAGTCAGCAGGAGCGTGACAGTGCTGGCATGCCCACCAGCAACCTAGGGATTATGCAGTTCAGCTAAAGATGCGATGAGGACATTGTGCCTAGGGCATGGGGCCCTACAGCCTACATGGCCAAAACTACAAGGGTCCCCACAGCCAGGGCTCACTCTGCTGGAGCCATAGCCAATGCACCAGTGCCAGTAAGGAGCAAGGTCTCAAGAGAACGGAGCTGACGTGTGAGTGACCCAGGCAGAGGCTGTAGGTCTTCCTCCGCCACCTCAGGGACACAGAGTGCCAGGGAGACACTGGATTTCCAGGACCCTGGCCTCTGAGGCATGGGTCATGGGGCACACCGGGGAGCAGCTGTGCAGGGGCAGACCTTGGCCACATGATCAGAAGGGCAGTGAGGCTGAGCGGAATAGGCATAGTGACATTTGTATAGAGATGACCCTGCCTCAGGTGGGGGGTTGGACTAGGTGACCTCTGGAGGTCCTTCCAGCCCTACTTCTCTGTGATTTATGAAACATCCATCTTGGTTGCTTTCGCAAGGGGCTTCTCTGCCTAACATGCCCCTCCCTTCTCCCCACCACACTGCCAGCCCAGGGCAGACAGGACTCCTGGCACCATGGTTCCTACTGCTGTTCCAAGGAGGCCAGCCCCATACAGGGCTCAGCATGTGCCAGGCTCTGGTGCCCCAGCCTGCCAATGCCAATGCTGCCACTGCAGAGAGGCAGCTGGGGGGAGGGTTGGATTCATCTGCCTGCCTTGGGGCACCTACTATGTACTGGCTGGCAGAGGAGACTCTGCTCCAGCTGTCGAACAAATGATATGTTGCTGGCATCCGAGCTAGCTTGAGGCCCTGGATACTGCCCCTTGTTACATGATGAGGGTGCTGTCAGTACATGAGGGTTAAGAGATAAAGACCAGTCTCTCCCCAGCCTCCCCCACACTGCAGACAGTCCAGGGCACGAGTCTCTGGGCACAATCAGCACCCATCCCCATGCATGAAGGGCTGATAACTTTTTTTTTTAATTTCATGCCTGGAGCCAAATCAGTTCCAAATTCTATCAACTGAGCAGAACTCAATCATTCAAATCTGTGTGGCACAACCCCTGGCAAGTATCCTGCCTCCCAGACTCTTCAGCCTGGGGCTTCAAATCCATGGCAAGCATCCTACATGCAAGCCCCAAGCCTGGAGGCCTTGGAGTTCAGATGCCCCCTAGCTTTGCTTGCCTCTAGCTAAAAGGCCAAAGGACCAAGCTAGAAGGAAAATCCGAGAGCAGTCCTCCATCACCATAAATTGTGTAGCTGAGATCATTGCATTTGGAGACATTTGGAGACTCACACAAGGGTCAGCCTGCCTGAAATGCACGGGACATGTCTCCACTCTCTAATGACACCAAGTCACTCAAGGCCAAGAAAAAGGGCATCTCTCCTGCCAAGCAAGTAAAACCACCTGGGCTGAAAACCACCACATGGTATCTCCCCTGCCAGGTCTATATCATGGTAATCTCCATCAGGTAAGGGCTGATAACATACAGAACATGCAACGGCCAAGAGCTGTAGGGAGAGGGAGGCTGAGCAGGGGTAGTAGGTGATTACCCTCTCAGTGCCCCTCCTAGAACTGCTGTGGTGATGCCCCCCCCACCGCAGCTGCTACACCAGTGTGACCTCCCATAGTGAGCACCTACAGTGGCTGATGATGAAATGCTCCATGTTCTCCTTCAGGCGGCTGGTGCTCTGCAGGCGCTCAGCCATGCTCTGGAGCAGAGTCTCCTTCTTCAAAAGCTGAGCTCGCAGTTCCAGGATCTCCTCCTTCATCACCTGCTCCTGGGAAGAGCCAGGGGGGATAGGTCAGCCTGTGCCACACATCTCTGAGAATCACAGCACAGCCAGAACTCCCTCCCTCCATACAACCCATCTGCTACCCTGACTCAGCCCTCCCTGGCAAAGATCTAGGGGCCCCACACACTGGAGGAGAGAGCTCATGACAGAAAGGGGGGCAGATGGGAGAGCCTGGGCTGGAGCCCTGGCCAGCTAGTCCCATGAAACAGGAGCCTTGAGCACTCAGGCTAGCAGGGCGACCGCCGTTGGCAGTAGACTCCAAACCCCAGGTTGGGAGCATCCCAATGCCCAGTTGGCTCTTTGCACACAGCCAATCCAGTACAAGCTCTCCAGCCTCTCATGGTCACTATTGAAGACATGTGTATTGCCAGTGGCAGGTGGACACAATGAAGCAGTGGCCCCCAACTACTGCTGGCCCCTGGGCTGCATTTCTGAGCATGAAGCTCACAGCCAGGTGACATCACACGTCAGTCTTCTGGGCAACTTCAGCTTCCACTTGCTGCATTTCCTGTGGCTGTGACCAAATTCAGAGGCTTGGGGCTTCTTGTGGCATGATCTGGTGCAATGACTTCTGGATGAGAAGGAGATGGGTGGGTAGGTGCATGTGTGCACAGAAGAAGGAAAGTCAACACACTGGCTTCCATCCTGAGCAACCCCCAGCCTTGGAGTCCCTGCACCCCATGTGGCAAGGCTGCTCTCTGGCTCCCTCTAACCACGAGCTGCCTCAGGTAGAGCAAGATGAGATCTGCACTCAGTCACATCCTAGTGAGCTTGCTGATACCAGGGATGACACCAGTACATGGGAGGGCAGGCTGGAGGTATGGCCTGAGTGGATAAGGCAGGTACTCCAGGGTGTCTGAGGTGACAAGTCTGGTTCTGCCTGCTACATAAAAGGGCTTGTGCAAGTCAGTAAATGAAATAAAAAGCAATTAGTACAAACAAAAGACTGAATCAATCCAAAGCAAGAAGGTCCCTGATGCCACCATGCTGGCAAACCAGAACTTGGAGCCAGAAATCAACAGACCAGACAAACTGGCATGCTGGAAATAAAGCCTGCTGGGTGAAGCCAAGTAATAACCAATGGGCTGTTCTACTGTTGTGCCTTCCCCTGACATCTTGGCACAAACACCAGGAGGATGGCAGCTTGAAAGGAGCATGCTTTGCCATTGTGACTACTGCCCCACCATCTCCTGGGGCACAACTGGGCCTTCACCATCCAAAATCTGGAAAAGGCCCCGAGTTGGCCAGGCCAGAGAGACTCAGAGGACACTGCCACTTCCGCTGTGTTTGGCTAAGTTTGAAACTTCACTTGGGGTGAGAGATTTGCATTCTTCCTTTCTGACCCTTCCTGGCTTGCCCTTTTTTAACCCCCATCGCATTTCTTCTCTCTCTTTCTTTCTGCCTCCTGCTTAAGCAGGTTCTGACCTGATTTAGCCAAGGCTGTCTCTGGCAGCACTGCTGGGGTTTACAATCATCTTGCTGGGGTCATCTGATCCCAGCAGTCTTTCCTGCCCAAGTGCAAGGGGGCTGGACCTGATGATCTGTAAGGTCCCTTCCAGCCCCAACATCTATGAAACTATAAGGGAGGGTAGAAGCAGTTTCTTGGGTTGCCATGGATACAAGTCTGCCAGCTCCCAGGGTGGTTGATAAGAGGACAACCTTTCTCCAGCTGCAACTGAGAGTCAGCTTCAGAGAGGCACTGCCTCTTCTACTACTGCTCTCCCTCTTTTCTGTGTGTCTGCCTTTTTCTGTCCTCAGGAAAGGATGATTGGGCTTGAAAAGCAACAGGAGTAGCTCCAGCCCTTCTCAAATAATTTTTTTCCCCTCCTCAAAAGACTTAAACTAATGTTATAGAACAGGGGTGACTAACCTGAGATATGTACCACAAGTGGCATGGGCAGCTTGTGTGCGTGGCACATGGCAGATCAAGGATGTATTAGGGAGCACAGCGTAGATAGGGCAGGAAGCAGAAATTGTAGTAGTAGATCAGACAGGCAGTAGAGAGCACACTAGTAGATCAGGCAGGAAAGGGGATCGGAGTGGCACTGTGGGAGGGTGCAGGGCCTAATTTATGGCCTGCCTACCATAAAGGTTGGTTTCCACTGTCAGAGAAGAACCTGGATTTCATAGATTTCACAGACATAAGGGGTGGAAGGGACCTTGTAAGATAATAAGGTCCAGCCCCCTGCCCAAGGGGCAGGAAGTCAGCTAGGGTCAAAGGATCCCAGCAAGATAAACGTCCAAATGTTTCTTGAAAGTGTCCAGAGCAGATGCTTGCATCACCTCTGGGGGGAGTCTGTTCTAGGCCTTGGGGGGCTCAGACAGTAAAGTTTTTCCTTATGTCCAGCCTAAAATGGTCTTGCAGGAGTTTGTGACCGTTGGACCTTGACATCCCCTGGGGTGCTCTGGTGAACCGGTGTTCACCCAGATCCTGATGTACACCCCTTATGTACTTATGGGCTGCCACCAAGTCCCCCCTGAGCCTATGCTTTTCTAGGCTGAACAATCCCATGGCTCACAGCCTCTCTTCATAAGGCCTGCTCTCTTGCCCTCTGATCACGCACATGGCTCTTCTCTGGACTTTTTCAAGATTCTCCACATCCTTCCTAAATTGTGGAGCCCAGAATTGGATGCAGTACTCCAGCTGCGGCCTCACCATGGTCGAGTACAGCGGGAGGATGACATCCTGGGTCTTGCTCAAGATGCACTGGTAGATGCAAGCCAGAGTTTTGTTCACTTTGCCAGCTGCAGTATTGTATTGGTGGCTCATGTTCATCTTGTGGTCAGTCATGACCCCCAAGTCTCTTTTGCTCATGGTGCTAGTGAGTGTAACATTGCCAAGCCTATAGGTGTGATGCAGGTTTTTATTCCCAAGGTGGAGCACCTTCTCCATACTGAATCCCATCAGGTTTTCATCTGTCCACCCTGCAAGCCTACTGAGGTCGGCCTGGATCACCAGCCTATTCTCAAGTGTGGACACTGTTCCCCAAAGTTTGGTGTCATCAGTGAACATAGCCAGCCTGCTTTTGACACCAGTGTCCAGATCATTTATGAAGACATTAAAGAGTACAGGTCCGAGAACAGACAGGATAGCAGGGAGAGCAAGCTACACAAACCCTCTGCACCTCACAGGAAAGGCAATAAAGAACAGTTAAAATGAAAGCCTTATTTGATACTTCCAATTTCAAAAGCTTTAACCAGTGGTGATGCATAGGGGGTGCAGAGGGATGCATGTGCACCCCCTGAGACTGCTGGTGCACCCCAACAGGCCACACTCCCCACTTAGGTGATGGGCAAGGGGGGCAGGCAGGAGCGCCAGTGCCCACCTGTGAGTGCCAGCTGGGGAGTGGGATCGCTGGATGAAGTGCTGTGGCCACTTTTAGGAGCACCACGACTGCTTCCCAGTTGGCATGATTGGCCATGGGGGGACCCCCCCAGTCACTGTCCCCCCTGCCCCTGACTAAGGTGGCACCAGTTGCCCATGTCTTTAACTAACTTTCCAGTGTTTAAGGGAAGGTTTAGGGGGTGGTGGCTTTCCTGCAGACAAGCCGCCCTGTGGAATTTCCCTCCTTGGAGGTTTTCAAGAGAAGGCTGGACACACATTTGTCAGGGACAGCACACTGTGCATTTGTGAGGGGGTTGGACTAGGCGACCCCTGAGATCCCTTCCAGCCCTGGAGTTGTACAACAAGGCAAGCTGAGATCTTGGTACGGGGAACCTGGAACCATGGTGAGGTGTTGGGTGCTAGGCAGTGCCGGGGGCAGGGTAACACTTTAGGCTCCCCTTACCATTGTCCTGTGCTGGGCAGGGCTGGAGGCTGCGGGCAGCGCTGCCCTCCAGAACAAACTGAGGAGGGAGGCGCACTCCTCCAGAATCTGATGCAAGGTGCCTGTGCTGCCAAAAAGCTGCCTAATACTTCCTCGCTCGAGGGCCTGCAGGGAAGAGGGGAGGCAGTTGTTAAACAGAACCCCAGCCCCGCGGGACTCTGCAGCCAAGGCAACCATGCAGCCCTGCAACACCCTGAGCCTGTGCTCTCAGTGACCTGCAGGTAGCAGTAAGCCCTGCTGGGTATTCACTCTGGGCACTGCCCTCCCACAAGGGGCACAGCTTTCATGACAGGCTGGCTTCCCATCTGAAAGTAGACTTCTGAGTCGGAGAAGGTGGGGAGAGAGGACTCTAGCTAAGCCACCAGCATGTGGACAGGCTGCGCACTGACCCACCTGGCATTAAAATGCCTCCATGCAACACTGCTGTTGACCCCATTCAGGAACAATTGTTTCCTGCAGGCCCAGCTCCAAGTGGGCTCCCCAGGATCTTTTACAGCCACCCATCCTCACCAAGGAGAAGTTGGCCCCAGCCAGGAAGCAGCATTACAGCAGGTCGGCAGGAAGCTCCCACAACTCTCTCCTTCACCCTTAAAGGGCTTAGAGGAACATTACATGGCCCAGAAACGTAACAACCCATACCTACCCCAACCCCCTTGCAGAGAGGAACTACCTCCATGCCCTGGGCCTCCAGGCTGGGCACACTGAGAGCTGGCCGCATGAGAGATGCCATCTTATGGACCAGTATTTTGCCCTCCAAGATCTGCTGCTTCAGGGTGCTGTAGTCATCCACATGGCCAATGATGTGACATCCATGTTTGCTGGCAAATGAACCAGTTGGGTCATCTCCCTTCAGGGAAGGGGAGCCCTTCCTCACTGAGGGATCCTCCTTGCATAGCTCTGAAATCAAAGCAGGGCCTCACAGTCACAGGGGCCAGCACAGCTCCTCAGCTTGGCCTTCCTCAGCGTGGTTGCATGAGAACAGATCTTCCGCTGGAGATCTGAGTTACCCTAAACCTAAACTGTGCTTAGGGGGTGCTATATCTCCAGGGCCCGGACCTGGCAGCTCCATCTATTTGTCCAAGTCATTCAAGCAACGGGCTGGGATTTTCAGAAATCCCTAGCAAGTTTGGTGGCCTCAGTTTTTGGAAGCCCTTCTTGAGACACCTTCAAGGAATGTGATTTTCAGCTAGTGCTGAACACTGGCTTCTAAACACACGGTCCCTTTCAGGCTTCTCAAAGGTGGGGACCCTCCAAAGTCAGCAGACCCTTCTGGATGCTTTCAGCCACAAACATCTCCCAAATGCATGACCTACATTGGCTATGTTTCTGCCCACCAGAACCACTGCCTGGCAGTCCCTGACATTCCCACCCTTCTCTGAGGTGTTCTCTCCAGTCCACAAATGCCTAGTATTGCTGTGCTTTGGTTCCCAGCCCTCCTTCTCTACATACTGCCCTCTCTTGAGCCCAATCCTGCAGCTCAGGTCACTCAGAGCCAGGAAGAAAAACATACTGTGAACCCAGGGGAAGGAAAGGAAGGGGCAGCGTTCTTTGGTTCCAAGGAGCCCACACAGCTAAGCACTGTACATTTCCCTTCTTAGCTATACAGAAATAGGAACCTGAAAGTTAAGGCATTTCTGGGTAGCACCAGTTGCTTGGCACTCATCCAGTTCCCTGCCAGCATCCAGGAGATGCTTGGGAATGCCTCTGCCAAGACTAGCCAGGGACATGAAACAGACCCTCCCCACCCCCCTGGAGGCAAGGCAGCATCTACTCAAGGGGAATGATGTTCACATGCTTCTTGGAGGACCCTGTGAGGAGGATAGAGAGCAAAGCAGGTCCCAGGCTGGAAGAGGATGGCTTGAGGGGCCCTTTCCCCAGTGGAGTCAGTGAGGAGAAGGCACCAAAGAGAGCTGGAAGAAGATGTAGGAGTGGGGGATTCTCTTTTCCTGGCAATCTTGGTATCAAGCCTAGGCTCCTTTCTAAGAGAGATGCTCTGAGTTCAGCCCAAAATACAGGGCTGGACAGGGGGAGCCCCTGGACAGGATTCTCTGGCCTGGGCTATGCAGAAGGGCTGATAGATTGTGTGGAAATTTCTGCCTTTAAAACTGAAGAACACACAAATCTCTGCCTTGGTTCTGTTCTGCCATATAATGTGCAGAAAGCCCCCTGCATCATGCTTGCTCCAGCCTTGTGCTATGCATGAACAGGCTCCTACAGGGTCCACCAACACCCTGGGAAGTCTCAGTTGGACTTAGCCCCTGTGCGGGCTTTGCATACTTTACCTTTTGCCTGATGGTGAAGTGAGGCATCTGGGCCCAGAGCAGTCAGTGAAGAGGTAGAGAAGAGAGGAGCTGGAGAGCTCATACCCACATCCCGAACCGGAGGAGAAGGAACTGACTCTAAAAGGGCAAGGCAACAAGGGGTTCTTTTACCAGGCTGAGAGCAATTGCCTCCCCCATTGTCAGAGAACCCAGAGGGTCTAGAAGTGAATCATGGTCACCAGGGATGGACCAACCAGCCCTGCTGCCTCTGCCCCATCCAGCATGGCCTCTGGCAGCCTTCTTCCTCCTCACCTTGGAAGAGCTGCCGGTCACCTGGTGGCTTGTTGGCAGCAAAGACATGGGAAGTAGAGCCGTGTGTCACTAGGCTGGCTCTCCCCTCCTGCTGCTGCTCCAGTTGCTGCCGCAAGGAGCTGTTCACCTGAATGCCCTGCAGCAACTGGCTCCGCAGAGCTCGGACCTCGGCCAGGAGGGCATCCAGGTCACTGCTAGAAGGCTGTTTCCAGTACAGGTCCCTGATGCAACCTGAGAACAAACACAACTGGTTCAAGAACTGTCTGTGCCATGCTATGCCCCAAGGGATGCTGGCACTTCAGCTCCAGATCAGCTTGGGGCTGTAGCTCTCTGATGCTAATTGCCTCTTGTGCCATCATGGGCAAAGACTCAATAATAACACAGGGTGAATGGTAGCCCCCAACCATCCCCAGCTTAGCATGTTCTCATGCCCCAGAGAAATAAAGAGGAGTTTACTCAAGGTTTCCAATCCCCAGACACCAGAGAAGCGTTATGGTGGAGTGTGGGCTTCACTAAATTATACTAAAACTCCTCCTTGGTGTGGTGCCAGGTGTTTCAGCTCCTGCCTAGAAGGCACCTCTCTGGGGCTGGTGAGCAGCTGTCCATCTCAAGAGACATGGATGGAGGCCAGCAATGCCTGCCCAGGCAGGATCTAAGCTACTGCTTGTGTTGCAATCCTCTCACTGCTAACATTTAATGCTTGACAGCCTACCAACACCAAGCAGAGTACCTTGTCCCTTCTCCCCCAAGGGGCTGGTGAAGCAGGACATGTACCTGACATAGCCACTTTAGAGGGGCCAAAGAGAGTCTCGTAGACCCGCAGCTCAGAGCGGAGAGCCTGGAAGACTAGCCGGTTCTCCTCACACTGCTGCTGTAGGAGTGTCACTGTGCGCTGAAGCCTGAGAAGAAGGGAATGGGTGGGGTCAGCAGGGCATACACAAGCCTGCTGAAGGGAAGCACCAGGCTGGCTGGGCACCCCTTGCCACTAGCATTCGGCCCTCCTCTCCTGACAGACTCCACGTTGATGTCAAAGTTGGAGAACTGGCATCATAGCCCTTGGCAAGATTGTGCTGTCACAAACACAGATACAGGCCCAGCCCACCTGGGATCCTGCATCTAGGCCATATAGACTTTCATAGATGTCATAGACGTTAGGGCTGGAAGGGACCTTGGAAGATCGAGTCCAGCCCCCTGCCCCAGGGGCAGGAGGTCAGCTGTGGTCATAGGATCCCAGCAAGATAAACATCCAGATTTCTCTTGAAGGTGTTCAAAGTAGGTGCTTGAACCGCCTCTGATGGCAGGCTATTCCAGACCTTGGGGGCTCGGACAGTAAAAAAATTCTTCCTTATGTCCAGCCTGAAATGGTCTTGCAGTAGTTTATAATCATTCAACCTTGACATCCCTTGGGGCGCTCTGGTGAACAAATGTTCCCCCAGATCCTGGTGAACACCCCAATAAACTTATAGGTGGCCATCAGATCACCCCTGAGCCTGCATTTTTCCAGCCTGAAGAGCCCCATGGCTCTCAGCCTGATGTCATAAGGTCTGTTTTTCTGACCTCTGACCATGCATGTGGCTTTTCTCTAGATTCTCTCAAGCTTCTCCACATCCTTTTTGAACTGTGGAGCCCAAAACTGGATGCAGTACTCCAGCTGTGGCCTCACCAAGGCCAAGTACAATGGGAGAATGATGTCCTGGGATTTACCTGACAAGCATATATGGATGCAAGCCAGCATTTTGCTCGCTTTACTAACTGCAGCATCGCATTGAAGGCTCATGTTCATCTTATGGTAAATCATGACCCCCAAGTCCCTTTCATCC